TTATTTACCTCAGAAGTTGATGGTTTGTCCAACTCCCTGAATAAGGCATCCTATTGGAAAGACCATTCCAAACATGTTTCTTAAGAGAAGGTTAAGATCCTCCTGATAATTCACACGCCATTAAAAAATATAGCCACTAATGTAGCTAACAGTTTACTGAACTGTGTTCCCCTTTTTCAAATATCTTAAAGGTTATTCTAAATAATCATAAAAAATACAACAGAAAATATTATCACAGTATCTGTCAGGAACTACTGCATCAACAAGTAGTAAGACTTGATGACAGTAACATGAAAAGGTCGTTTAGCCTTCTTGTTGGTGAGTATCAAAATTTTATAAACATTGAAGAAATTGAACTCTAAAAAAAAATGCAATAATGTGTGCAAAATTGGATGAATACAATCCCTTTACTATATCATACATAACAATAATAAAAATAATAATAATAATGTTCTTATAGGCATATTTAGAATTTGCAACTTGCTTACAGCTACCTTGAATAAAAAGGAAAAAAAGTTGGCTAAATACTGATCATGATGATGTTTCCAGAGTAAATTCATTTCAACCATCAAATGATCAACTTTGATACCAGGGTTGTCATTGAAAAATGCTGTAAAAATATGACCTGAACTAAGCAGATGACTGAATTGAGTTATGCTTGCATTGCAACATGCCCCCCTTGCAGGGTCTAAGGCCAAGCTCCCATAAGAAATTTGAAACTCTCTTGGACATGATTTCCAGCATTATGGAACACATCTGGGTAATTTCTTTTTAAGCCACACATTGGTGTAGAATCATTTCAAAAATACTTTTTTTCTGTCTTTGAACACAACACACAAAGTAGCCAGTGCGAAATGGTCTGATAGCCTGTGGTTGTCTACAGCCTACCGGCCTATAATGACAACCCTGCTAACACAATTCTTCAAAAATGCTACAGTCAGCTACACTCAGTATAATAGGTACACGTAATCTATGAAGTATATTTCTTCTAATTTATCTGAAGCTACTATCTTTTAAAAGATACAAATATTCTTTGATGTGATAGGCCCCACACGTTAAGCCACAGCAGCTTGCTCATGAACTTGGCTGATGTTATTCCACATTTGTTAAGGATCATCAGGTATTACTTAATTTTGAATATTTATGACATTTACAATACATTTTATATGTTATGTTGGAATAATTCATGTAATTACATATCTAAGTTTTATACAGAGTGAAAAGTTGTTTGACACCAGAGTTATAAACAGAGTTATCTTGGCCAAAAAATTGATCATCAGACAACCTTTTCTGTTCTTATCTACCATCTTGAACCCCTGGGGGAAGATGGAAGCTGTCACTGTTTCTTGCCCCAATAGAAGCACATACTATATTACAGTGTCATTCTTGTGGGGAGTGAGTGAATTCAAAAAGGAAGGGTGATAACTTAAAAGAGAAAGGGGCTTTTCAAGATCTGGTTAAAAAAGTGTAATGATATCATCCCATTCAGCTAGTGTATGTGTCCTTGGCAGATTAAGATAGATATGTTGAGAGAATTTGATGTTACATCATTCTACAAAATGCCCTCTAACTGATATATTTATCTGTTAATTCTGATCACTAGTTTGCTGGATAATGTACAAACATTGCATTCATGAGAGATTACATGTAGACTGCTTTTGGGAATTGAAGGGTTAACAGAGAGATTGCAATTATCAATTATTTATTTGACATTTAAAAGGAATCAATAAGAATAACCTGACTCTGTGTTGGGATACGTTCAGTGAATAACCAAATCCATCAACAGTGATATCACCTCTTTCTCTTTGATTTCCTGTTGTTTCCTTTCTTCCTTGTCCTTCTCCCTTTTCTGTTCCTCTTCCCACTCTCTCTTGATTCTTTCCTACATCATTGGCAAAAAAAAAAAACAATTAAAGTTAGCAATGGAAAACATCAGCCACAATTACAGAAAATCTTTTCCCTTTAAGATGAAAATGAGATAATGTGGTGTTCTCCTTTTCGGGCTGTAATCAATAAAATCTACTGCCTGTAGTACACGTCTATTATTACTGCCTACAATTGCTTGGAATTCTTGAAAGTTCAACAGGTAAATGGATTACTCTACCAGTTTGAAAATTTCTTTTATCTAACATGCCAAAAATAAGGGAGAACACTGTAATGGCCAATAGCATTCAAGATTTCAATGCTATTAAGACTGAAATTAAGTGAATATGCTGATGGCTTTGACGAAGGTCAACTGTCCAAACATTATACATTATCTAGGTAAACACCTCTTGTTCCAATTTTTCTCTCAACTTTCTGTCTTCATCCTCTTTTTTCTTTCTGAATCTTTCTTGTGCAATAGCTTCCCTTTCCAACCACAAGTGATGCTGAGTTTTTCTTTAACAAAGTAGATGTACATAAATGACGGTCAGCAAACAGATAACACAAATAACAAATGACACAAATTTGAAAGTTTCATGCCAATCACCTTTCCTCTTCTTCTTCCAACAATCTCTTCTTTTCCGCTCTTTCCTTTGCCTCTACCTTAGCCCTGATATAAAATCATTGTGGGTGCTTTATTACCAACTTTAAAATTAACATCAGTATGCACATTCTCTATACTGTTCTCCATAACTTTCTTAAGGTACTGACAAGGAGAATTTGTTTAACAATCAACAGCTTCTTTAACTGGTGATCATTTCCTTTATCCTTGTCCCTTTATGTTTGATTCAAGGATGATATGGTTAGGAGAAATTAAATGCTAGTCACCCTTAAGTGGTCGAAAGGGATTAAACAAAACATATCTGCTTATGGCAAAAAGGAACTAAAAAAAATATCTCCCCTGCTCCACTCTGATTTTATGTACTGTCTGTCATTTGTTTCTCATAGATTTAACTTTGAGAATTGATTGATATCTTCATTTCACTTTATCACTATTCTGCTTGAACATGTACTGATAATGAAAAGAGCAATTCACATCTGGGATTGAGAGGGTTTAACCTTTAACTCCCAGAAGTGAATAACATGCAATTCTTCCTATAATATCCTTACATTATCTAGCAAACTGGTAATGAGAATACTCAGACTGATCAGGTAGAAGTTGTTACCTTGATCTAACACCACATTCTCATAACTAATTTACAATGAAAGGTGTAGCAACTGGAGGGGAGAATTAACAATCAGATCTTAGCAGTTCAAGGGGTTCATCATAAAAGTCAATTGCCATAATTATGAAAAACTCTAAACAAATATGGCATGACACCAAGACCAGAAGGTGAAGAGAGTTGCTGAATTATATCTGTATCCTTTTAATCTTTCTGCTACTATGCTAACAATATAATGAACTTGCAACTCACCTTAATATGGGATCATTTTCTATTCTCCACTTTTCTGCATAAAACAAGGAAGAGGGTCATAACTTCAAAATGAAAGTGTCTAGCCATAAAAACTGAAAACTGACAAACTGAAAAACATGGTTTAATAATTGTAAGTACACCACAAACAACTCTTAGCGTGCGATTAGCGTGCTGGTCAACGAGCAGTTTCTTAATTGTTAGTGCTAATTGACCAGTGCTAAGTTTAATTTTACCTTCAAGTTCCTCCTGTTCTCTCTTCTTAGCTGCTTCTTGTCTTTTCTGGCGCCGTCTTTCCTTTTTGACAAGCCTTCTAAACTGTTTGTGGCTTTCGAGTAAAGAATCGAAATATGGAAATCGAACTTGTATTTAACCTTGGGTCAAATAAAATTCATTCAAGTGTTTCCAACCTTCTGGTGCAAGGAAAGATTGTATCGAAAAAGCGTTGTGTTTCGGATTAATTCAACAGTTAAAAAACTTTCTGGTATGGGTACATTTATCTCCTGAAGAAAATTACGAAAGCTACGAATGGGAGGTCTATCTATCTATTTGCAACCTTCAAGCTTAGCTTCACCGCGAAACAACTTAGGCTTTCGCAAAATCGAAAAAAAAAGAAAGAAAAAAATAAGATAAGTTTAAGTTGAAGATAACTTCTTCTGTGTTATCAACTCAAATTACTATACCTGAGCTTAACAGGCTGTTTTTGTTGACAATCTTTCTTCGACTCCTCATCTTCCTCGTGCTCTTCGACCGCCATGTTGAGGAATCGTCAGCCCCAGGCTTGCCACTGTTTACCTCGCTAGGATAATACTAGTTCCCAGGACTTCTTCCTTCTTAGAATTCAGCAATCCTTCTTCGTCACTGCCTCGTTGGATTGTCTCTTCTGTTCCTTGTTTTGTTTTGGATGCATTTGCAATCAATTTTCAGTTCAAACAACGATAAATTTTGTGATGTTTTGAGGCTAACAGAGATTACCTCCGCCTTGGTAGACAAACCGCGGCTTGGAAAAGCACTCGTTCGCTCGCACGCGTTCCTTCCTCTACATGCATGTTTCAGGTGGTTATGGCATAGTTCACCTCCTACAGGTCGATATACGACAACCTACAACAATTACTGAATCAAAAAGGGTAGCAGAATGAAATACGTTTGTCAAAAATGGGGTCAGAGGGTCGGTACACCGACATATGTAACCATCCTCCAGCCCACAGATACCTTCCCCCTCTCACTTCTTCCCCTACCCCTTACCTCTAACCTACTTGTAGCCGTACCCTTCCCTCCTCTCCCCCCCCCCCCCCTCAGCTGAAACGGAGGCGAGGGAACACCCCGCGTGTTCGAGTGCAGGACATTTCGATTAGTATATATATTGTATGGTAATGGCTCATTTTAGTTTATTGTATTTCAGTTTTTACGAGCTTTCAAGTTTAATAAACAAATTGAGATTCGATGGACGCTTGGAGGTTCCGTTAATATAAAACATTTCTCCGATGCGGCGTTGTTAGATTCGATGGATGTCTGCGTCCGCCCCATCACACTCGTAGTAAACGAAAGCGTTTGGGAATCACTTAAGACAAATAGACAATATAAAATATCTTTTATTAAGTTCTTATAAACAGATCCTATACAACACGGAATATAAAATATCTCCAAATGGATTTCCTTAGTGTACACGGTTTGAGACTTCTATCAATTGTTCTCTTTTCATCTTCTTTGATTCTCAACGGTATTATTGTCTTTTTTAACTGATTACAAATTTATAAGATGACTCTTCCTACCTCCCCGCAGCCAAGGCTGACAAAGGGAGCTGGGACCGAATTAAATTTGGCCCTGGTCGCCTTATGAAACCATGTTAACCGCGCCCCCTCCGTTTATAACTTCAGAATAAAACATACAAATTTAATAAATTAAGCTGAAAACATTTGCTTTGTCATGGAAGATATCACTCTTAAAAGCCGGGTCTTAGAAAAATTATATCTACTTGAATTACTGATAAAAAATTTGTGACCTTTTGTCGTCATAACTCGATTAAGGCTTTGATTAAACGCCACGCCCACTTTATTCGCTAAAACCGAAAGTAAGTAAGTGAGAGGAAATATCGATTAAGTATTATCCTTCCAGATGCTGAAATAAATTTAAATCTAATAAAAAATAATCCATCATTCGTATTATGTATAAAAGATTTAAATAGCAGCTAGTGGATCAGGGTGATACATCGCCTGCGAACAGTTGGCCATGATCCCTAGTTGACGCCGGCGCCACTAATCCAGAAAGTCGCACAAACTCGCCTCCAATTTGGTTATTTCGGTACAGTTTGTTTCACCCGCCAAACGGGTCAGGATAGGTCTAGCTCGATCAGAGTCATTCATTCTGTCAAATACGGTTCCGCGCTGTTCTAGGAACGAGCATGTAAAGTATGCTGCTGAATGCCCTCTGACCCTTGTGTTATTCCTGAAAGGGAAATCTTCTAACGCTTGACCTCAGCGGAAGTGACAAAATCGTCACAACTTTCGCACGTATCTTAGAAGTATCCTCTCTCTCCGTGCTAAATTTCTTATTTGACTTCTGGTTACATAAACGTAAAGACGTTATGAAGTATTATTCATCAAGCTCCTCACACACAGCCAGACCCGGTCCATTCAACTAGTTGGTAGAGTTTTTTACGAACTCCTGTTCAAACCATGTTTCGGAATCCGAGGTGTTCAGATCATTCTCGTCCACTCATAAATGACGCGCACACATCGAACCAGTCACAAAATCACTCTCAGTTGCACAGAAACAGGCACTTATTTGCGATGCAAACTGAAATATCGTTTCCAATCCTTCACGAACTGACTCAACGCCCAGAAAGTGATGTCCTCCATCATGTCCTGTCCTCAATCGCGGTCAAATTCACAGATAAGGGGTCTAAGACTACAGAAGAACACTGGACTTGCCTCGTTAATAGACCGAACTCAAACGTTTCTCTTTGCTCTTTTTCGAGCCTCGTAAACCAAAGCTTCTTCTTATAACAGATGTTCTGTTTCCGAAGGAATCCCCTTCTTCGTCTTCCTCTCTGAGATCGGCGCTTGATACCGGATCTGGTAAACGCAGGGTGGGTGATGGAGGGGGTTTTATTTCTGTCGTGGACTGTGACTTCAAGAACGGTTTTTCTTTCTTCCCTACAAATTGAGTGTAATATCTTAGTCTCTTTAAATCAACCAAGTCTCTTTAACCCAGGTTTCCAAGGTCATAGCTGGAAATTTTCGACTGAGAAGGGCAATGAAACAAACCAAATCTGACCAACACTCCACGAAGACAACATTTAATAAAATGGCTGAAACATTTTCCTAAGGGGGGGGGGGGGAAAAAGAACAGCGCTACCTGCCCCTCGGCTAACTAGGAATCTGGTTTCTGTACCATGAAGCAAATTTACAGTTAAGCTTGGGATCGATTATCCACTACTGTTCTACCCTACCCTTTTACCCTACAGTTCCTTCCCAAGCTTTCTTCATAATTTACAACCAATAATTATTTTCTCTGGGTGAAGCTTGGCACTGTAAGAGTGCTGGTCATACCAAAAACATTATGCACCGCGGCCAGGGCTCGAACCTTGTTTGTTCGATGTGTACCCCTGGGCTCAAAAGAGAGAAAAAAATCTGAACTCACCATTGACTTTCTTCTGTTTGACGGATGCTTTGGCGGCTGTCATGGCAGCTTTTCTGGTGTTTTGTGATATTATAAGACCTAAACCCAAACAATTAAAACTTAATTTAGTCAAAAATAATAATTATTGTTAATTTGTTTAACAATCAAAAGCTTCTTCAGTTGCTGATCATTTCCTTTTTTCTCGTGACTTAAATGTGTAATTCAAAAGTGGTCTTGTGAGGAGAAATTAGATTTTAGTCGTTCTTAAGGGTCCTAAGGTTAACACGGATTGCAATTAATAAACTTGACAAAAATTTGGCGAAGTGTTTCGAGAAGAAAAAACCCTGACACACCTCCACCAAGGTTGCCTCTTCCAATCCCCTCCCCTCTTCCCTCCCCCCCCCAAAAAAAAACAACAACAACAACACTAAACAACAACTTCAACGACAAAAAACAAAAAGAAAAGTGGAAGGAAGAAGTAGTCGTACGCTTGAAGAAGGGGGGGGGAAAATTAGTTAGAGATATATTGCGAAAATACTGAGGTATTCAGTAATAAAGTTAATTACCTGTTTTGGCGTCTTCACTGACCCTGCGTCGTTCGTCCTTGAACGCCTTCATCCATTTCTCTTTCTGAGCGGCTTTCTTGGTGTAGAAAATGTACCATCTTTCTTTTTTAAAGTTGTAAATTTTCCACGCGTTATTTAGCGGCGATCTGTCTAAAGTTTCTAAAAAAATCAATAACAAAGGCGGATTTCAGCTCAGCAAAGCCTTTATGCGAACTCGGTTTGATTAAATGGATTTAACAGACCAACTTTAAACTAGAAGTAAAAAGTAAACCAGGACTGCATTGGTTTTGCTCCACAACGCTCTGTGATTGGCCAAGAAACTTACACGCCTCTTAAACAATCAATTGCAAGACTTGAGCACGCCGCGACTCTGTTATTCGCCGTCTATTGCCGCGTTGAGGAACGCTCACATGTTAATATTTTGATATGGGATGGGTCCTTTGTGATCATTAGCTTTGTTCTGATATCCTTTTGTCGCGCCTTTGATTTTAGTTTTATAACATTAGTTTGGAAAGCCTTCTATAGCTAATAAGGACAGCCAATCTAAAACAAGATCCATTCCTTTTACCTTCCCCGTCATTCAACCAAACAACCGAGCAGTCATCCATGTCAATTCTTCCCTTGTAAGTCAAACCATTCTTCTTTAAAATGTCCTGAAAATAAGCCAAACACAATTTTTTTAAAAAAGTTGTTAAGTAGTTTTCTTAGAAATTGATTTTCAGAATCGGAGGACGTGAAGACTCCGAGCAGTCCCTCTTTTCATGCGAAGCCTGTCGCGCGAGTCAAACTGTTCCGGAAAAAAAATGATGTGAACACGCTGCGTGGATATACGGAAAGTTGTAGCCTCACTCCCAGAGTTCCGCATGGCGCGCTAATATCATTTTTTTTTCCCCGCGATATTTTTTACTCGCAAGTGTTTCCCTGGGCCTTGATGAATCATTAGTTCTCACCTTTTTACAATAAACAAGTTGATGATCAAACAAGAACATGACACGATCTTGTGAGCTCCCATTGGAAGTCTTGATCACGTCACCAGAATGAATCAGTTCCGAGCTCTTCTCTAAAACGGCCTCGCCCTTCAGAAAGAAAAACAAGGGAACGAAGCGTTCAATGGAGAGCACAAATATCCGACACTTACACGCTCACAAATACCACACTAATACTACTAATTTATCGATGTAATTTGTTAGGCTATCAAAGCTGACACCCCATTCCCAGGAACTTTTTGAGTTTCCAGCTCAAATTGTCCTGGAAGTGAACTGGCCAAGTCTGAAACAAAATTGCACTGGACTGCTTCCATACTTTTCTTGTCATAACATTTTTCTTCTCTTCAAGACATCTTTCCTCGACAACAACGACTCCTCTTATGTCTTAATTTCATCGTTTGTATCGCTCAACAATTTAAACTAAATTGTGTCTCGATCAAACGTAGCGACATCTTTCTCTTTAACTTCCCCCTTACTACCTTTCCCCTTCCAATCCCCCTGGGGTCGATCTTCACTCACCTCCCACCCCTCAATCGTGCTTTGCCACTTCGCAATCTTGTTGATACTCTCAACTTTCCTTTTCCGTTCGTTGATTAGCGAGGCGACGTTTTTCATTGTTTCCAGGGCTTGCTTCACCGTCTGAAAATCCTTGTGGGTTGGTCTCGTGTGCTTCTTCAGCTCCTGAGCAAGGAGAAGAAAAATAAATATATAAACTTAAGAATAAAGAGTTTGCAGTTTGAAGGCACATTCATCATACGTGATTTCGAGTGGCTGGACATTCGCTTCGTGTTTTAATATACCTTGAAAGCTAATGTCCAATAAAAAATGCGAAAACGAGCAAGGCACTTGTCGGAAATAGGATACTTAGTACTGATTTAAGTTAATGTTCATGTAATGATTGTGAAATATCGGCCCAAAGATCAAGCGTCACGTTCTGTCTGCTCTGATGAATGAGTTTCTTTATCTTTTGTATAAAAGATCTTTTAGCCAATCAGCGTACGTTTGATCAAGGTGTGTCCATAAGATCAAAGGACAATTGACTGTAGTTTTAGTCAGTCTGATATATGACTTTGTTGTGTACGTGAGAGGATCCGAGAAATTAAAATCTGGAAGAGAAAAGCGACAGTGTGGGTTCCTTACTTATTCCCCACACACTATTCTAGCCAACTAAACCGAAAAAGTTTGGTTAATTAAAGTCTAACACGAGAAAAAAAGATTCCTTCCAAGAATTTCGCTTTAGTGGGAGCAAAGCGGGTAATCCTGAACGGGTAGCGGGTAATCCCGAACGGGCAGCCAATCAAACACAGGATTCGCTTCACTTCTTTTCCGTTCAAACTCATTCTAGAAGACCAACAGACAAACTATCTTCTTTCTCAACGTAGTCTAACGCGAGTGGCAATCTTGGTATGAGCTTCTTCTCGGGGGCTCCTCCAAACTCTAACAATTCTGTTTGTTTGCCTTCATGGCACCATTAGCACTATATTTCAAAATGGCGGGTGTGTAAAGAATTTCCGTGTTCTTAGACACTGTTCAGATCTCAGCATCAAAATGTAATAGTAACTACACCATCGGGCCATAAAAATAATCCATGACTGGTTAAACCGAAAGATATAGAGAAAAAACATAGCAAACCTACCGCTAGCTGCAGAGGATATTTGCAGATCTTTTGAACTGGAGTCAATAAGAACCCATCAAGCGATATCTTAATCATTTCCTGTAGGAGACGACAAGCCTAGAGGTAGACCAAAAAGTAAGATTCAATAAAAAAATAAATCAACATAAATGAAAAAATAATGCGCAATTCGAAAGTGAAAAATTAAAGAAATGCGACCTCAAGCTCTTGACAAGTAATGGACGGTGAGGTTTGATTATGTACAAGAGGAAACTTAAAGAGCACCAAAAAAATAATGCCCGATTCGTTAGTAAAAAAAATTATTTCATACCTCAAAGAATTGTTTGTATTTGTTGCTTTCACTCAATGTCTTCAGCTCTGCCATTGCGTGTGGGTGGTTGTTGCAATACTCCGAGTAAATATCAAAGCCCTTCCTCTGTGTAGCGAAAATAGCAAAAGGAAATGATAAAAAAAGGTTCAGGTCACTTGAGATTTGATTAAAGCTACAAGATGCAATATGATGGTATGCGAGATAGACTTACATTATTTAGAAACACAGCACCAATCTCAGACGCACACGGGTCTCCTTCCACGAAACACTCTTCCAGTTGCCTCAATATTTCTTGGTGAAATTGATATATCTGTTCGATATTAGCAAAGATCTTGGTAATCTGTTCCTCGGTAAACATATCCGTTCTCTTTTTGGCTTGATTAAGATAACCCTGTGAAAAGAAAATCAAAATTTCACTTTCAAGGCGCAAAAGTCATAAAAGTTATCAAGGCAAACGTGATTCTGCATGAAAGGAAAAGTAAAGGAGGGGATGGACGCCATAATCATGGTCTTGAAAATTGATAGTAACTTTAGGAAAACAACGGTATAAGACAAGTCCAAACCTAAACAGAAGTTTAAAATATATTGCCATCATAACATTTCGTTCTCACAATGTGTGTAGAATTGTGCACAAAGATATTTATAAAGCCACTTCACACTGAGGGTTTGGGAAATTATTTCAATCTTCGTGCAAAGGTTACACGTCTTACAAATTCCTCTTTGGTGTTTTCCCTTCAGTGTCTTTTTCCCTTAAGCAACGTTCGCAAAATAGAGTTTATGAATACGCTTGATTTCCGCTCGAGATAGCAACTGTGACCCAGCTCACCTCCACCACATCTTCCAAGTTCTTGACATAATCTCTCTCAGTGTTGAGAATTTCTTGGACGACACGTGACCTGACGTCATTGTCTGAGAGAAATCCCTCATTGGTTCCTTTTCTGGTCCGCACAGGAGGAGCAAGTTTGGTTTCGTCCGCAGCCAAAGTCTGTGACACTCGAACCTAAGCAGTGAACGCTGATATCAGAATTGCTACTGAATTTCCCTGTTAACTGTATGACGACTACTTGGTGATGATGAATATTGCTCGGTTGAAAACGAAATATTGTACGTGTATATCGCATCTTAATAAATTCAACATTTTATCATACTTTCATGAGAATAAATAGGGGAAATAAAAAAGCCTTTCCCAAGAAACGCGGGAAAACGAGAGTAACAAGGTCGCCATTGAATTTGGTTTGGAATCTAATTAACTGAAAAAGTGGCGCGAGTTTTCTGAACCAATCACATAGCGAGGTAATCAAAACGAAGGGCAATTCCGAATTTCTTTCGAAACTCAATTAAAAATTTCTCTAAACTAAGAACGCTACTTTCAGTTAGAGCTGAAAACAATGGACGAGAAGCATTACCTCATAGAAGTACTACTCTAAATTTATTTTATCCCAGTTCAATCATCAAAAACACTCCACTAACCCGAACAAAAGGTGCAGGGAACCAACCAACCCGGTCGCCAACCTGTCCAAACCACCAGTCACATGACGTCATAGTCAGCACAGTGATGATGTCACCCACTTGGAAACTCAGCTCCTCCGGGTCCATAGTCACGTGATCCCACAGGGCCTCTGCAAATGCTTCCGGTACATCCATCTATTGCGTAACCGGAAATAAAAAAAAGTGAGTTGGACTTTGTTCGCGCGGATAAAACAATTTCGAGCTTTCTTAATATTGATCTAAAAGAAGCAGGGCTGATATTGTACTGACGAAGTTTGTTTGATGTATTTTTTAACTACTGCCTTCGCGAAGTAATTTATGACGCGTGTGAGTTTCCTTTGACGTGCTTCACCAATAAGCAAGATGATAACCACTTTGCAAGCTCGTTACAACTTCAGTAACCTTTGCAGTAAACACTTGTAAGGTCAAACCCCTATTCGTAAGCTACCCTCACTCAAGCGTTTCTTTTTTCCTTCTTTTTTTTTAATATTTCATTCGTTTACAGCCTATAGTGCAAGAACCATCAGCGAACTAAGCCGACATTTGTATTTATTTTTAACAAATAATATCGGACTCTCTTCGCCAATCTCAAGTCACTTTTAGACCAACTTATAGATTTTATAATGAAACCACAGTCTATTAAGATATCAAAAGCGAAATTGACATACCAGGGAAAAATTTGCATCAAGTGAAAAGGCATGCACTGATTTGATCTCGTTTAAATTATTCAAATTAAAGTATTCTCATCCGAAACATGGATTCTTTAAAAGTAAAACTGGCAAGTTAAGCACCGATATATCGATCTCCTTTGTTTATATTTTACTAAAGAATTTATCCAAGTGATTCTTGCATGCACATCTTCGCCGAAAAATCATTATCCTAAACAGGGGGGGTTGATTATATTCGGACGCTTCAATGTAGCTCCTGTATCGCAACGTAGGTTTAACCTTGTGAAAAATCAAAAATCGCGAAGAATCCAGTTTACGTTTGCAAGATACGCTACAAAATGTACAAATACAAAATAATGGTGTCAACTGTACGAATTAAAAAATGACAAATATTTTTTAAATGGCAGAAATAAACCCCTCTACTGCTCACACGTTTTTTTTTAAAAGATATATATGTATAAGAGTCAACACGCTGAATATAGCACAAAAGAAAGCTACATTGTTCTCAGTGATATATGTAAACGGGAGAAAAGAAGGCGACATATTCATTCCAACGACCGAAAAAGTTCAACCATGGTACTTTGTGTTCCTCTTTTAAATATCCCAAAGTCTAGCAATTATACGGCTTGGAAATTAGGCGCGTTTCCACAATATTCAGCCCATCTTTTAGGCCAACACGAGAGAAACAGTGTTACTATTCAGATATTTTGAGAAGAATCGATAATATTAGTTGTGTATAGAGAAGGTCAGAAACCAAAATGCAAAAAGGATCAATGTTTTCTCGAATCAAGAATGCAAGAAATTCGAATTTCAAACAAAGGCGGTTGGATAAAGAAATGCAAATAAAATGACTCTCCCAAGTTCGGCACCTTCTCTAGAAAATATTCCCACGGCCATTAATGAAAGTTAATGGTAATGAATAAAATATTAGAAGTGCCACAATTAGGAAACAATTAAAACTCTATGATTAACCTCTGGAATGCGTTTTCCTTCTGTGAGCAAATTTCAAGTAAACTAAGACGTGAACGCTCTCACGGACGACAAAAACAATGAAGTTGTCGGTGACTGAAATAAATCATTATGGATTACGTTCAAATGATAGCCCATCGATTTTAACCGAAGCTATTTATAGTTTGTTTGCGCACTGATTTTGACGCATTTAAGCTTTTAGCACCACCGAAGGAAATGTGTTTTTACTGCGTCGGTATAATTGATATTTAATGGCTAGAGTCTGGAGAGAAAAAGGAATAAAAACATTGTACAGTAGATACTAATGCGCGCGGTAAACTTCTAACTTCGTGAATGGGTGTTTTAAAACTCCAAATTTTGACGCTGGATCAAACACGATCTGGATTATTTAAGTTTACACACAGATGAAATGAAATTCTAACTCTCGTGATAAAAACGTCGTTTTGACATGAATTTGACTTTGGTGTACATAAACAAAAGCAGAATTTGCGGTTCAATTTAAATCTATTAGCTGTATCGCACACTAATGTACTTTCTGTATTTTTATGTTCTTGTCTGGCTCGCTGAATGACAGCTTTTTAAAGTTTTTCAAGTGCGCCATTTTAATTTTGAACTTGATATGTCCATCATCGCCGAATGGAAACATATGTAGAGCCGCGCTTACATGTCTAACTTGTTGGTGCAAATTGATCAATAACGCAAGCTGTAAAGTCGCTAACGGATAGAAGATTTATATAATCATCCGCACTTACAACATTTTAGTAATGTTCAAGAATCGTGTTTACTCGTATGCTACACTGGTCAAGCATTTCAAAACACATTTAAGCCCACTTGGAAGGAATAGAAATTAACGGAATCATAATGATCAAAAATAGGACATTTAAAACGCACATTTCGTTGGAAAATAGATTTCAAAGCGATTCTAGAAGATTATAAACGTTTTCAATATGTCGATTGCGGTATCAGACCTGGATTAGCTTACAGACTAATGCAACATTAATAATCGCGATTGGACAGACGATACGGGAATAGTCTTACCTGGTAATATAACGCCGAGCCGTAAGCTTAATGGTTTTAACAACCAAAGAGAGCAGACATTACAAGATAAATCCAAACTGCCATATTATGCTTAAGTACATGATTATCTTTCTACCAGGTGGCCATTTGAGTGAGGAGCGCCTACGACCGACACTTCGACTTCAAATTGCCTCTGCTAATGACTTTTCAACGTGATCGTCAGCGAGCAACTGACAGTGAGAGCAAATGTGGTTGAGTTTATAATCAAAACATAGCTCTGTCTGGCACTAATTTCGCTGGCAAACCACTGAAATACGATCTATATATCCATCGTTCACTTTGTTTGCTTGCGATTGACAGAATCCCTGAACAACGTCAATAATGCTAATTCAGCCTAAAGTTTTCAACGCCTGGGGCCGAGCTGTCAAACTCCAGCTGGATGCAAGCTGTCCCATGCTTGCAGCATGATTGCAAACCTCAGGCAATTTGCAGAGATAAAGCTTCATTATCACAGTTACCTTTCAACGCTAAATTTGCTTTTCTGTCCCTAAATCTCAGTTGATGACCAGTGCTAGGCATAAAACATTTTCTATGTTTTTCGCTCTCGAAAGCTATTATAATTTATTAAGGATAAATTCATGTAAAAGTGACTATCTTTGAAACGATCACATGCGAGTTTTGTCCTGCAATACAACAGTTTTCCAGTAAAACAGAGTACTAAACATTGATAATAATAATCCTCTCGAGGATTTTAGGATTAAATCAATTTATCATTCATATAAAAAGTGGATTAACATGATCGCATGCTAGCAGTTTGCTGGCTAAAATAAAACGAGAAAATGCAAGTTTTGCGTCAGAATTATAGACCGATCAGAAAATGGTGAAGTTGTGTTAAAACACTTCTAAAAGAACTTAACCAAGTTTTTATGAATCGAAAAAGATCTTAAATAGTTTAAAAGTTGATTGTGCATTCTTCAACTTTCATTCTGTATCAGTGTGAACAATTTACCACCAATTTCTCAGTTTTCCCTCAGGTCATTGCTCTGAGGGCTTCCCTGTGCCATTTGAATAGGTGCAGGGGAGGGGGGGGGAGAGGAAGGGGGAGTTCACTGTTCAGTTGTTACCTGATTTAATCAGATATACTTAGTGACAGTTTGTGACCAGTAATTAAGTTAAAACTGAATGAAACCAGTCAGTCATAGGGTTCAGTTGTAAAATATTGAGACAACATGCAAAGAAGGACTAAAAATGAAACTTGACAAACAAATAAGTGAAGTACGTAAGAGTATTTGAATCTAAAACTGTCACCAAAATTGATGAGTTATTTGTCTAGAGGATGAAATCTGCCCCTTGTTAACCAAAATGCTCATCAAAACCTAATTACTACCATGAAATGCAACCAGAAAAAAAAATGGTCCACACCAAAACCCTTTAACTCCCATGAGTGACCAAGACAGAATTTCTCCTTACAATATCAACAAGATAAGTGATGAGAATTAAGAAAAATATCAATTTAGGGATAATTGGTTGATTCAATACTAAATTCTCTGAACTAACATTATAAGAATTGCATGGTTGGTAGTAAGGAGAATTATAAATCTAATCTGAGAGTTAAAGGGTTATTAAGGAGTCTCATAAAAAAAGTTTCCAGGCCTAAATGTAAACAAATATATGTACCTGACAGAGACTGAACAAATCCAAAAGGGCGTTAACTGCTTTCACTCCCAAGATCTCATAAATAATTCTCCTTACTATCTGCCAAAGAATTCTTATGCTTTTAGTTCAGAGAATTTGGTTTTGGATCAACTAATAATCTACTGATTGATATTTTTCATTATTCTCATTAATTATCTGCTTGAAGTTGTATTGATATTGTAAGGAGAAATTCTGCCTTGGTCACTCAAGGGAGTTAGAGGGGTGAAAATGATAGAGTGAATTAATGATTCATTGATGAATTGATTCCTTCATTGAATGAAGGAAAGGAAGAATGAAATGGGGAATTAAAAAGATGGGTGAAGAAACCTTTAGTTGGTCAAATCATTTCCACTTGTAACTGGCCCACAGCACATTGTCTTTCAATCTGTGGCAACATTTTTGGTGGAATTGATGTTCTTGTACTTAACACCAAAAGTTTCTTCAGTCATCTATGAAATGAATTAAATAACTAACCTCATCATCCTCCTCATCACTGTTCTCTCCTGACAGGTAAGTCCAGTCCACTGAAGAATGTTCCTCTGGGATGGGTGAAGGCTGGGGGTTGTCAACACCAAGAAGTCCAGGCACACTGCGTGAACGACCCAAACTCTGATCAAAGGCAACGGGAAGGGACAGCTGAGATGCAAAAGAGAAGCTGCTTCCCAGTTCGTTTTCAGTGAATGATGATGATGAGTTCAGAGATTGCATAGAACTGTTACAACTATCCAATGGGCTTTCAGCACTGTGAGATTTATGTAATGTTTGTGGAAGCTGCAAGAAGCTTTCATCACCATAACCACCATAGGAATGGCGCTTGCCCTTATCAATCATATCATTGAAGACATTGTCGACACAGGACAGTGAGGTGGTGTGTCTCATCCTGGTTTTGCGCATAATACTTTTCTTTTTCTTGAGGATGACCTCTGCTGTGCATGGTGGTAGTTGTTCAAGACTCTGAATGCGTGGTCTGACATAGGGTGGGCTGGTATATGAAACAGGGTTATCATCATCATCATTACTGTCCAATTGACAGCAAGAAACTGAGCGACTCTCTGTCTGTAGCACCTGTTGTACTGGAGACCTGTGGGGTATCCTGGTACTGTAGGCACGCTGCCTCTCCTTTGGTGATTCTGGGCACAAATGATTAGAGAATCCTCCGTTCCTCGTGACATCTTCCCATGGGGGTGACTTTATTTCATATCCACTGTTTTCAACAACTGAATCATTTTCACAACTGTTTTCCAAATTTAAACTACATGATGACAAACTGTCACTTCCATATTCTGAGAGGAATTTTTGTGTCAGATTATGTATGTGTAATTTTCTAATGTCTGGAAAGCTGTTAAACATTGCTTCCTTGCGAATTGAAGGCCCTACCGGCAAGCAAGGCAAACTCTTCACTTTAAGACTTTCAGCCAATCCTTGGCGGCTCTTAAAATTCGCACGTAAGCCACTGGTAATTAACTCAGAAGATGTACATGTATGATCACGCAACTTTATGTCTTTAAAGTTCTCGGGACTCGGCGAAGGACCAGGAGAAACGAGAGAGCATCTATTTAATTCAGAACTCCTTAACTCGATTCTCGTTTCCCTGCAAGATAAACAAACTCCTTGTTGTGATGATTCGTCGTCCTCTGTTTGTCCAAAAGTCGGAGAACAAAAGTCTTCCTCGTAAACTATGTCTTCTTTGTTTACTTTGTCAATCGGTAAACTTCCCGTATTTTCACAGATTGTATTTTCATCAGTAGTCAGCTTTTCCTCGGATATACTTTCGCCAGTAATCACGCGAGTTGTGAAATTAACAGAGGAAAAATCTTGTGAATAATTATTATCGTCAAAGGCATAAATCATCTTTTCACGCACATAGAGCGCTTCAGTACCCTCGCACAAAGGGGTTGATTTGTCTTTTGTAAGTTCATTACCTGAACAGCCGTGGCTCAACAGGTAATTCCGCCTGTCAAGTTCTCGTTCGAAACATTCCATGTATTCAGGCTGCTGGATAAAATGATCCACATCGCCATCAAGTTTATCGTTTATAGTTTTTCCGTTTTTCCTTTGAGGTCGAAGGATCGTTAGTTTGAATTTGGCATCTTTGGAACTACACTTGCGCGGTTTTTGAAGCCCTTGTACCCCTAACGATAGGCTGTTCCCCATTTCGGTTGCCGTGAGCTCAGCGCACTCGACAGCTTTGGAAGATAAATCCCTCTCCTCGGGAAAAATAGTCTGCTCCCTGAGACTATCACGCTCCAAGTGAGCACGGCTGTCTTCTTCAGTAGCAATATCAGTCTTCAATTCAAAGAAAATTGGTGATCCAATATTCAACGGGTCTTCATGTGCAAAATTTGACAAGATAGGAGGAGCCGAGCGTCTTTTCCATGCGTCACGATTCCTTTCGGCATTGCGGGTGATATTTCGCTTGCTTTCGAACGGTAGGCCACCTTTTGGAGTACCTCTTGAAAACGAGTCCACTGCTTCGAATTCTCGGCACGAATGCGGAGAGGCCGTCATATCTTGATCATATGCAGGTCCCGTTTCAATTGACACTGACCCAGAGGAACCAGGGCTAAATTCAACCGTGAGCGATCTCTCGAAACATCCGCGATTTTCTTGATATTCCTCCACTTGTATACAAGGTGGAATTGCAGCTAATGTTCGCGATTTTTCCATGAGTGAATCAGTGCACGGTTGTAATGAATTGTCCATAGAAAGCGACCTGCAAATGTTGTTGTTCGGATAAACCAGTGATCTTTTTGAGCGTTTCAAAGAATAATACTTGCTATCTTTACAACGGGAATCGTTATCACAATAAGAGTCAATGGATGAGGTACTGACAACAATATCTGTTACCAATGTATCGAAATTAGTGTTGTTACTATCTGTTGATAAATGGTCCGATAGCGGAGACTGAGGTGCGGTGAAAGACAAACTTTTCCCACGGTCATGCTCTCTCTTTGAATGACTTGCTCGCTTAAATAAATTCGTTAGTATACTTAAGCTCTTAGATTTTGAGAGAGATGTCTTTTCAGTGTTTGTCTTTGCCCTTTGTCGCTTTGATCTGAATGTTTTCTTCTGACGGTATGATGTTTCGTGACCGCAATCTGGCAGCTCGCTGATGAGTTCATTTGCACCAAGGCTCGGAGTCGAACCCGCGGAATTTTTCTTTTTCTTCCGAGCGCTATTGACGTTTGTTTTGTTTTGCTCAAATTTCCGATTATCAAAACTATAGCTGTCAAATGATGTTTTCCCATTCACGTAATGTGAGTGCGAACTTGTTTTTATCCCATTAAGGTGTTTATGTGACACTCCATTCTGTTTTTCCTTCGCTGGCAAAATTTCCCGGCTCACGTGTTTTGCGGTATATTTCACACAGCCATTTTGATGATCTTTGATGAGGTCGCTTCGATATTCTCCGCCAAAAAGAGAGGCTGATCGTGGCGAAACTCCCTTCTTAATTCGTATCGACTTTCTCAACGAACTTTGGAATCTCTGCAGCCGTGATTTCCATTGCTTGGGATGCTCGGGTAGCGCCATACTATTTTCATTTTCTAACGGTTTGGATGACATCGTCGGGGTTTTCATCGAATAGCGACCATGCTCTCCTCCATAACTTTGATTTTCAGACGATTGAGAAGTAGCACTTAGCCACAGTTCCTGCGTAAACAAACGTAAAAAATTTTCAATAATATCCGTAATAAAGGAAATAAAGACAGCAACACAAACGAAGACAACCATGTTAACGTCACCAACGTACAGTTTCGACTCGAATTGATCATAAATTTCCGGTGCGAAAATTTCCATTAATTTTGTTCATACCACGAAGAACTGTCGAGAGTTTAGCGAAGGTTCTAATAAATTTTGCAGTTTCCCAGCAAGGGATTGAACGAATAATGAATTTTATAAGTGACAACTTCAATCAGGTCAAAACGTCCTTCGAGGAACCAGTGCGCAGTAGTCAAATTTACATCCGGTGTAAATTTCAGAACATTCTGATGGGTTCCAGTTGCCTCCTCATGAAATTAAGTTTTGTGTTCACGAATAATTTTGGCAAATGATTTAAACGAGGAGGCGGCAAAATGATTAGAAATCAGCGTTTTTAACTTAACTATCTCGTGAATAATACAATTTTAGAAAACTCTAGAAATTTGCATACCACGGGTCGTAACAAACAAAGACCCAAAATTAAAATGAATTTTGTTTTAGAAACACGGCACTCAATTGGTCCAACAAAGTCACCAACAATAGAGAGATTAGGACGGGAAACATTTGCATGGATGCCATTTGGACACGATATCGCTAACAAATGTAAAATAAACAAATAAGTGAAAATGAAATCATCCTCATTAAAATAATTGTTTGTTTATGAGCTTACCAAAGTATGTGTTAATTCCTGGGACTAATTCTCGATCGATTTGTTGTCTCACTAGGAGTTCAGCTGCTAAAAGTGACAGGAAAACGCCGCTATTTCCTCAGACGAACTTCAGACGAAGAGTGCGCCTACAGCAATATTACTAGCTAACAAAGCGGACTGCTAATCGTTTTGTTTCACGGACAAATTGAGCACATGACATCAAAAGGCATAGACGCCTAACTAAGACTACCTGCGGTGCTTCAGTTAGATGACCCGTAGAGATTTTATCCAGAGCCAATTGAGCGAACAGTGATGATACAATCTGTTATGGTAACACTTATCAGCGATGACAAACAAAAGGGTCACCCTGTTATCAGAAAGAGTGAATGCCGATTGAAAGCTTTTATATATGCTCATCGTTACTCTTTCTTTGCAAGTTGAAGAGAGAAAAGGCAAGAAATATTCTCGATGCGGGCAGGATCTCTAGTTTTAAAGGCAAACAGGGCGGAGATTGTTTTTTTTTTTTTTACGCATCTGTTTATTCATTATTTATTTTTCTGAGCCAGGGACTTGTGCCGGCGGTTTTCCGGCGCTTTTCACGATAAATATCAGCTACAAACAAACCAATAAACTTTTCCATCATCATAATGCTCTTGCAAAGGTTGCAAGACCCTTTGGAAGATTATTCCATCATAGATTTGACTACAGCCGAAGGTAAACATCGTAAACAAGTAGAATAAGAAAATCGTGGCGGTATCTTCAGTGATATTCGCGTTCCTTTCCTTGCAGAAAAAGCCTTTATCTTAATTTGACTCGAGACAGCGAAAAAAGCTGCAGCAATTCCATAAAAAAATACAATTCTGTCAGATCATTGAAGTTCAAACTTCGTGATTTGGCGGTGTCTGCAAGGTAATTTATTTTCTGCTTTTGTTTAATTTTCCTTTTCAAGCGAATGAAATAATTCTTTTTTTGTTAACTCCTTTCCGCTTTCTTGATTAGACCACTCGAATGGTTTACCAACGTGAAGGAACTTTCACATGAAACTTACCCTAACAAAGAAGCATTATTATGTCATAGATCAGCGATGCTTACCACGCCGACCTCCAGCGGAAGTGACTCTCACTGTACTCCAACTCTAATCTTAAGGTTTACTACACTCGCTGCACGTGCAAATAAACTCATTAAGGATTTCTAGCAGTTAGGACGGTAACGCCAAGGAAGACGTCGATTTAAAAATGAATATACTTTTAGTTGGAATTTCGCGACTGACTGGATGTGTTTACCATCTCTTCCGGCGCCGAAAGCTAACCTCAGCACAACGTATGATAGCGACCATGAGTTCTAACTAGGAACTTGAATAATTTGCCGTCGGGGTTTCCTTTCTTGGACCACGCAAATTTTGATGATTTCACTTTGTTATTTTGCAGAGGAAAGCTATGAAGTGTACACAGTTTTAAAACGCACGTGCTGAGCTATTGTTCTGCTCATTATATCTTTTGTTTTGTCAAGTCCTCGTTACCGTTGCCGTTGTGGTTTGTTAAAGGTCTCTATTGTCAATACAAGGCCATTTTGCTTCAAAAACACTGGACAGTCCACCTCACCATTAGAGATAATTTTCAGTTCTGTTGTATTTTAACGATAGTCTCATTTCTCTGTATGTAAAAAAAAATTCAGTTTAGTTAGCTTGCCACTCTCAATTTTCTCAAAGCTGGGTTTTTACGCTGTTTGTAATCCTAAGCGCACGGTCTTTTATTCAAGTTTCCAGAGACTTTTCGAGAGCACACATATGCTTATGAGGTCAGTCATCGACACAATCAAAACATTACCCAATCAGAGTAGCCCAAATGCACCGTTGTGTTATAGTTGACCTTCTGTAGTTTAACCACTTATTCATTAGCAATAGTTTTAATAAAATGTCATAACCGAAATCGCCCGTATGGTCCGAAGGAAACTGTAGTAGTATTATTCATATTACAAATGACGGAGTAAAAGGCCTTCTCATGAAGTGTTTTGCGTCAAATCTCTTCAGTAGCAAGCGTTTTTGTCTTGGTTACAGTTATTCCTGACGCAGGTGTTCTGGAGAGTTTCACGAATGGTATACTTCACGCTGGAGAATTCTATTTAAATAAACAATGATAAAAATATAAAAAAATGTCTTCTTGGTCTCTGTTGCGTCGTTGTCCTACCAAAGTATTTTAGGTTTATATGGTGAGATCGCTGACTGCGATAAACTTGTAACTGTAAGCTCAGCCGAGTCTAGTTTTCATACGCCATAGTGAAACAGCAAATATTCGAAATCCAGGAATGCTTTTATGACTGTTAATTTGCTACAATGACTTCTTCAATACTCGTTCTCTTATATGAATGCAATAATTATAAATCATCGAGACGTTTCCAATGGGAAATAGTATTGCTAAGCCGGGCGCTTAATTAACAAAAAGTCTGAGGTCCAAAGTATGTCGACCGACCCACTCTAAAATGTGAACAAAATTTTTTGGGGTAATTTTAATTTCCTCGCTTGTGAAAGCTATTCCAGGCAAAAAAATTCTTCTTTTTGTCCATAGGAAAAAAAAACAAACAGATATTAAACAAATATCAAACGGCGGCCAATATTCCTCAAACAAATTTCTGAGTTTGATATACAACTAAATAAAGTGTAAAATGGAAAAAAAGCAACATTGAAAACACGGAAAATATCGCAGGACTATCGAATCAATTTAACTGGGTTTACAGCTTTTGGTTGTTGACACGAAATTCTGAGGTCAGTCACGATCTAGTAAATAATATGTCCTTTTATTTTCTTTCCTCCTAGAAGTGATTAGAGAATAATTTCCCACTGCAATATTTATCACTGATCATCGAGCAAACGAGTGATAGAATAGAGAGAGTTGTCGGCTGATTAGTGTTTTCTTGTAATAGCGCTCTTGAAATTCTCTCTTAACTTATCTACGAGGGGAAATAGTCAGATGACAATAGGTTAGAGACTTAGGCATCAGATGTTGGATCTTGGGAGGTATACTGTAAAAGATTTTAACAGACATCAGTGCAAAACGCAGCGAAAACCATGTATATCGAATATAGACAATATATTGAGTGTACCTCACACTTTCACAGTAGACTTTCACTACAGCTTGAGATCAGTATGCAATTAATTATGTGAGTTTAACCCTTTGACTCCTAAGGGTGATTAGCCATTAATTTCTCCTTTAGTACAATATTATCCCTGAATCAAGAATAAAGGAAATGTCACATAATAAAGAAGCTCTTGATTGTTTAAGAAATTCTCGTTGTCAGCACCTAAAGAAATGTATGTAGAACAGTATGGAGAATATGCATGCTAATGTTGGGATGTAAGAGGCTTTTGGCAGCCTTGTCAGGTTTAGCCATAAGAATAAACACCTTTATCCTGAGTGAAAAGCTACTGACTGCATATTTTGATTTGTGAAAGGCCTAACTGCTAAAAACTATTTTGAAATTGTATTATATTCTGTAATTTCCGGAATAAAGTCTGAACAATACATCTGGAATTTCATACTGTATAGAATCGCTTCACTAAAAAAAACGTTATTGCGTGCTTAAAATTAAGGGATTTTATTTGGCATGTAATAAGCTGTATTGAGTTTGAGTTAAGTGACATATATGAAATGGCCGAAACATATAATCAATCGTATTGCTCGCATCTTTTAGGCAAAGTTAACGGATAGCATGTAAGAGAGACGCCGTCAGAGTCTCCGAGTATATTAGCTGTAGATCAGAGGTCTTTCTCGGTTTTTTTTTTTATTTATCTCATTAATTAACAAGCAGCAAAATGATCTATGCCATATAATACCGTTGGCGTGCAGTGCGCGGAGAACTGACAGCAAGTTCCCAGTCTCATCGAGCTCTCTTCCGCCATAAACTTACTCTTATTTATAACAGTGGGAGCGAACACTTCATAGTCTTGTCAGACGGAGCTCATCACCTATGTAGCTAATATCTGTAGGGATTTAATTGTGGGAACGCTAGTTTAAGAAGATAAAGGCATAACGCTCGGTTGTTTTGATTGGATAACAATAACATATGATAGTTCATGGACAATTAGTTTGCAATACTATACTTGTATATTTTAATTAGAACCATTCTCTGATATACAAGGAGGAACAATTCACGTGCTAGGCGCGTTATACCTGATCGCATACTAGAAGTTAGGAGGCGCCACTGAGTCGGAACTCTCCGTGACTGGGTAAGCTGTCACCATCCCTTGGAGTCAGCTGACAAATAAACTTTCGAGTGCAAAGAAAAGTTACTTATTCAAATCAATCACTCTCAAAATTCAAAAACCATTAAAAAAGCTGGGAACTGAACGAACAAAATTGGGAGACGGCGCAATCCGAAGCACATTCACAAGTTTCTCTCAAAATTTACCTCTGGGTCGAATTTGTCTGAAAAATATGTATCAACATTCCTTTGTCTTATGATTCCGGATTATGGTTTTTCTTGTTGCCAGCTTTGGCGCAACCCCTCGTATCGGGTTTACAGTTTAAACTTATTTGTGGTTTTCATAAGCTGCAAATAGACATGACGTATACTTGAAATTAAAGCGAACTAAAGTTTTTCCACATTGTTGTGGTAAGTTATTGTGTGTCAAAAGAGACATTCGTTCTGTTTTTTCAAATAGGTTGAAATATTTGATCGAAAAATAAAAATTGCCTTGAATTAGTTTCATGTTTCACATACGAAACCCTTGGCTTGAGGAACTGAGCTCAGAAAGTGTTAAAATATGCAGGGATCGGTAGCGAATGGTGAGAGCAACGAACACATGTTGTCCACAGTTCAGGGATTACGAACTTGCTAATACATGATTTATATCTTCAATTTAACATAGGATAAGTTATTCAATAAAAATTCATCCGTTTGGATAAACTGAATTTACAACTTTGATAAATAAACCATGCATGTGTGAAACCGCCGCACTGAAACGTGCTCTGACTTGTAACTCATGTGCAACTGAATTGATTATCAACTCTGAAGAAACCAAACTACAACCGAATCCTCACAAACCACTCACCTACCTTTCTTCTGCGACCTTTCATTGTAATCAGCGAGCGGGTCGACAAGTCATTCTCAGAAACCGAACTATCATAACCGCGCTAGGATCACAAAATGAATGATTCTCCATTATGCAATGTGTAAAAGTGCACCCGTGATTCAACGGAGCCAAAGATGTCAACACCAGATCGCTTATTTGCTAAAAAAGAATCTCTGCTTCTGGGCCTGGAATTCAAATCTTCTATAATCCAAGTGTATACGATCAATTGCTCAACAAGAAGCCCACGGTTTATACCTTGAAGTGCCAATCAAAGTAATTGAACGAGGTAGTGTTATGATACTTCCTTAGCGCTGAAGTAATTCGAGACTATACAACCGCAGAAAGTTCAACAAGTCATAGGAAATCACGAACCACAAACATGACGATGCGACTTCGGATCAAGAATTAAGGAAACAAAAAACAAAGGAAAAGGTCTCCAATTGTTTAACCATTTGTCATAAGAAAAAAATTAGCAGGTGCAATGAAGAAAAATGTGCTGCTAAATATGATGGGAAAATAAGGTGTATGCTTCTTGATTAACCTTCGATTAGAAAGCTTGCCTAACAACGGTTCTATAGACTCAAAAACAGTGAAACACACTGTGTAATTTAATAATCTTATCGCTACAATAAAAACGCTCACAAACAAAGAAATAAACGATCGAATATACGATAAAGGAAGAACAACCTATCCTAACAAATCACTAAACGAAAAATAGTATCTAAACAAGAAATGACCCTGATATTTGTACTTTGTTTTGTACGTCTTTCGGCTCGTCGCAATTGTAAGAAACATCGTGAAAATGTTGCAATGTGTGGAACGAAATGCCATGGCGAAAGAGAGGATTCGAGAAACTGGTAACATTTTCAACTGCGATATGAATAACACAAATATCACATTATTTGCTTGTGAACTCCATTGGCGCAACTCGTCCTGCGATCAATAAAGCTGATTTGCATAGAATTCCCAGACGAAATTCAGATATGCCGATATCGGTCAGAGAATCTGACTATCGTCTCCGTCGCGAAACGAATTCATGCAACTTAGGCTGCTATCAGTGCAGGACAATTTGTCTAGCCCTGATTGCAGAATCGTGGAACAATTCTGACGCAAGGTAAAGGTGCAATATATATTGTAAATAAGGACCTCCTGGCAGAAGATTCCTCCGCAGACCAGGATGCTTAGAGACAAGTACTCTAAGACAGTACAATTAATCTTGACGTGTCCATTAGTTTTATCAGAAAGGTTAAAGTTCAGATCATTATGTCTGGTGCAATTTAAAGGTGCAGTAGACTGTTGTCACCATGGCTCTATCAGCAAAAGATTCCTCCGGAGACCTGGATGTTTGCAGTCATGGATTCTAGGACAATACAGTTAATCTCAACCTGTTAACTATTTTTTTCAGAAAGGTTGAAGTTCAGATTATTTTCTTGAAGATAAAATGATGCGGTCATAGCAACCTCGCAAACTTAAATGCACTTTTTTCTTATCGACATTGTAGTAATCCGATACCCGCGAATATGGCGAATTTCTTGAAAGTTCGAAGCCCTCTGACGGTTAGATTATAAATGAAAATAGAAGGTGAGCAATCGATGCTGAATTCAAAATATGTGTTAATCCCCTGAGATGAATCAGCATTATCAGTTAAGTGACTTACTTTCGAAGGATTTTAGGTATTAAACTGAAAATCGCAGAAGTTTGTAAGGAGATTTTTGCTATCTTTCTAACTGATTGTCTTAAAGGTGATTTTCTAATCTGGTTTAACAGAACGTGATATCAGGCGACAGATCTTAATCGTAAATTCTTGTAAAGAATTAGAAAGCACCCGAATGAAAATTTGGAATAGTGAAATACCTATCTCTTTTAGGTTGTCCCAAATTGGTTTCATTTTCCCCGGACTTCACTGTGTGAACACTCGAAGTCTCAGCGCGAGCGTAAGTAGTTCCAGTGATTGGATTGAGGTGCTATCGATTCTCAGAATAGAATTCTCTGAATGGGTATTAAAGACATCTCTGGATAGGACTATGTGACCTCCCGTCACCCTGGTGCAAACACAAGTTTTCCTAGAAAACTTAGAATCTACAATTCAGAAGGGTTGTTAATGTAAATAAAAACTACATTGCAGAAAGTCTTAGAGCTGATTTGAGGAGTTTAGCCTATTAAACGCCACCGGAAGGCATCTGATTAAGGAACGGTATTTTAGATGGAGTACGTGAAGGTAATATCTGTTAAGTCAAAAGTGGAACAGAAAAGGGCGAGGTTAAGAGAGTATACGAGCTGAATTCATGGCAACTTTGTTGAATTATCACCCCCTTTGGACAAGAACCCCAGTTTGACGAGGAAGAATCCTTAATTGAAATCGTCTTGAGACAACTACGCTGTTCGTCGGTACACGTTGTACGATTTGCTTCACTTATTTACATGTATGGGTGTCCCCTATTCTTTCATTTATCCTTTTACGATGACGGATCGTTTGACACCACAATCTCGAGTAAGCGGAAGCTGGAAGCTGACTTGAAATAATTTACTTATCGAGTTAAATGGATATGCTTGAAGAAGGCTTATTGAAGGCACGAAGAGATATGTTGGTTGATTCTGGCTAACGGTAAGTGGGGATGATCGATTACAAACGGACCGACGAAAATCATGCGTCATTCCGACTAGAATTCGTCGCTTTTCTCACTCACCCGTGTTTTTCGACTTACCGTGGGCTTACTAGATATTATCAAGAGAACAAGAGTTGCTTGTGTTTTACTGAGAATGGGGAATTGTGCTCCATTTGAATGGGCAAACAAAAATGAAGTACTGAATTCAACAAACGTATTTGAAGAAACCCACCTGCAGTGAAATAAATTTCTGCCGCGAGATCAGTCCTTAAAGGAAAAGAAAGGCGTCAATCAGCTCAGGACAGTGATAGCTAAAAAACTGCTGAAGGGTCCTTTTCAATAAGACGTTGAAAGTGAACATACGAACAAATTTACAACAAAACTGTGGAAGCTACTGAACTTGAGAATTATTTGTTAGGCAAGAACAAGTCAGCCCTGTGTTTCCAGATGGAGATCCTTTAAAAATTCATATTTATCAGGTAAATAACACCGCATATCGGCCATTTGCATTTGAGCTTTCATCAGATCGTCACACTTAGCAGGTGTCATGCCCGGAGGGAGAATGTATCTTGGAATGAACCATACGAATTCCCTCCGAAAGAAGAGAATAACTTTCCCAGGGGTTAAATTTCGACTTGGTATGGAAAGAGCAAGGAAAACTACCTTTAGATACTTTATAGGGAGTAAGGGCAGAATATGTCGTATATATCAGCGTAAGATCAACCAAAAAAATTTCTCCCATATTATTATCCAATGTTTTTCTTCATTTCAGGGAGAGAAATCGGGCGGAGAGTCCCTTACTCTAGGCTTATGACACAAATAGCATTTTGTTTAAGAATGGCTCCAATCCAGAGAAGTGAGAGGTTGAAACTCGTGCACACTACTTTTGTTAAAAAGAAACCTCCCCCGGACATTATGGGGTATTAAAGAAAGCTAGGCAAAGTACTTCCCTAGCAACTTGGTTTTCGGGTAATTTGATATCATCAACTGAGTTGATGAGGTTAAATAAAATTGGCCACCGTCAAGAGTTTCAAAGCTGCGGTGGCCAATTTACGCTGTCAACCCAGTTGATAACACTAAATTTCCCCGTTATACTCTCCTACTGACGCAGTACCACAGTTTCTTTAGAAACTTACCTTCGTTATCAACTTGGTTTTAGTCTGGCATGCGATGAAAAGAAATTGCATCAATAATTTTGATCGCTATTTTAAAATTTGCATCGAATTTAAATTGATATCTTTCCAAACCGTTGCTATTCTGGTCAGAAGTCGCGTTTTCCCGCCACGATAGAGTAATATAACTCTGGCAAGCTAGTAGGCGGCAGTTAATTCCTCTCCATTGGATACTTTTTATATTAATTCTTCTTATTCCTGAAGGGAACTTCCCGTAATGCTTTTCCACTGGTTCGGGTCAACACTAGAACACGTGTATTTTCTCGGGCCCAATTTTTCTCCTGAAGGAAAAAAAATCAGAGACCAGCTTTATTTTGGAAAATCTTTACAATAAAGTCAGTTTCAGTGGGTGATTCCACACTGTTGCGATGCGCATCTGGTACTGCGCATAACATCACGTACTACGTACTGTTATGAGGCTCGGCCTGTTGGCGTAATTGGCAACACTAACGTGGCGTATTCATGACTCTAGCGGGCCTGAATTTTTTCCAGGCCTTATTTTCACCGTTACTTAAGTAGTGTTCAATAACCAGCTCCCGGTTGGCTTGTTAGCTTAGATGGTGGAGTGCTGCACTGGTATCGTAGAGGTCATGGGTTCAAATCCCGTACGAGTCTGAACTTTTTTCAGGCCTCATTTCACTCCTACTTAAGTAGTGATCATAACTGCGAAGATCGCTTCCAGGTACGATGATCTTTTCCTTTTGAACGAGCACAGTGAGCTATGTTTTTATCGCATAATTTTTATACACAAATTATCGCCTTTCAATCAGAACAAGCTGAAAAAAAAAATAATCGGACGGAAAAAAGGTACAGCTAAAAGAACGCAAGAAGCTCGTTATTCAAGGACGCAAATTATCACCTTGAAAGCAATGACTCGAAGCACGTTTTGAATCAGTGCAGCGTTATTTTTCCATAAATTATGAAATACATTGTTCCATATTATACGCTCCTGACTAAAAAGTGTTGTTTTACTGTCACTTTAACCGTACCGTACCTCAAGAATCTGATAGAAGACTGCATCAATGGCTCGAGTCTTGCTGACTTCCAGATGGCGTGTGATCTTGTCCACCATCAAATCCTTAATGAGAAGCTGTTCATTTATGGCCTCGTGAGAGACAATAACGCAATAATCATGTGATCGTTCCTTCGCAACCGCAAACAACATACAGGTATTCGAAATTTGAAGTTTTCGTCTCTGTGTGCAGCAAGGATCCGTCTTCGCTCCACAGCTCTTACAAGTATTTATAAAAAGATCCACTACAAGTAGTTTCCAAATAACTTCTTGTGTTAATTCTTCTTATAAACGCTCAAGTAACACCGTTTAGGATAATAATATTAGGATAATAATAGTAACAATGATGATAACAATAATAATAATGATAATAATAATACGGTTTGTAAGAAATCCGCCAAAAGTTTATGCGCCCTATGGGCGACATTACTTACCTTAAAACGAAAGAAGAAATAAATAAGATTGAAACTCCATAAAA